TCCCTCCCTCCCTCCCTCCAGGCACATCCAACTGGTCCGGGGACTACTTCCTCCACACGGCCGGGTCTGCTCTGGTGGTCAATCAGAGCCAGGTGGAGTCCGGGGACCAGCCGACCGTCCGAGATCAGCTGGAGGCCGTGTTTGAGCGGGACTGGAACTCGCAGTACAGCCGGGAACTGAACTTGCTGGGCCAGTCGGGGGACCTGTGCGGAGGCCACTGACCTCAGGCCGCCCGCCCCAAACCGGACACCGTCTCCTGAGGAAGGCCAGAGCGCCGCCCGTCCCGCTCTCAAAGGGACAGCCGGTTTTCCTGGGGAACGTCTGCGGGACTCCTGCCCGGATAGGAGCGAACCAGACCGGGCGGAAGCCTCCTGGGGCCGAAACGTTGAGCGAGGGGAGCAGAGAGCCCCCCTCCCCCCCCCTCCGCCGTACCCACAGTCTTTCTGGTGCTGGGGGCCGGGGGGGGGGGCTCTAGCCTGTCTTGATCACATTCCTTCCAAAGGATTTTGTTTCAGCGAAGAGGCTAAGGGACCTTATCTGCTCTTCTATCAAACGGGGCAAAGAGCGGGGGGGGGGCTTCTCTCTCTCTCTCTCTTCTCTCTCTCTCTCTCTCTCTCTCTCTCTCTCTCTCTCTCAGCATACATTTAGGGAACAGGTGTAGAGACAAACGGGGCGGCCAAACGTTGGCCATGTTCGTTGGGCAAAAGACCGCAGTAGCACAGCTTCCCACTGGAGTCTGTGGCCATTCCCCCACCCCCCGGTCTATATAAAAAAAAGTTTTAACAAAGAATAAATAAGTGCCTAGTTGGGGGCAGTGTTCCCTGTATGCTGAGTGAGTGTGAGCCAGCTCACAGCTTTTTAGCCTCCAGCTCACACATTTTTGTCTCCACTCGGGAAGGATGGGGCTCCAGAGCAAACTAATTGATGCGGCGGCCCAGTCGCTCGCTCACAACTTTAATGCCAGGAGCTCACAAAGCAGAATTTTTGCTCACGAGACTCAACAGCTGAGAAGGGAGCCTTGGTTGGGGGGGGTGTTTAAACAAAGCTGGCCCGCCAGCCCTTCTTTTATGGCGCCTCTGTGTTGAAGATAAAGGAAGGGGTGGGGAGAACCAGAT